TATATTATCAGAGATGAATATCTGCAGCCAGATAAAAAGACTATTCAAATACTCCTGCCTTTTCCAACTACATATCTGTGTGAGGCCAGATTTTCTTCATATGCTTCAACCAGAACAATGTATCACATTGAATGCAGAAGCAGATAAAAACCCCAGCTGTCTTCCATTAAGCCTGATGTTAGAGATATATGGATAAATGTCACACAATGCCACTCAAGAAGTTTTGCCTTGTTTTGGAAAAATACAGTTATTTTTCATAAAAATGTTATTTATGTTAGCATGCAATTAATTTATTTTTGTTATTTTAAAAAGAATTACATAAATATTTAAAATGTTTCCATCTTAATTTTAATATGGTAAATATTGATAGGTAAAACCCACATAAATGAAAGATCTTTGGAGTGCTCAATTATTATTTTTTAAATTTTATTCTTAAGTTGGAGTCTCACTCTGATGCCCAGGCTGGAGTGAAGTGGCACGCTCATGGTCACTGCAGCCTCAACCTGCTGGGCTAGGTATCCTTCCACCTCAGTCATCCAAGTAGCTGGGACCACAGGCACCCGCCATCATGCCTGCTCAATTATTTTTAAGCATATTAAAGAGTCTTGACGCCAGGCTTGGTGGCTCAGTCTGTAATCCCAGCACTTTGGGAGGCCGAGGTGAGTGGATTGCCTCAGTCCGTGGTTTCAAGACCAGCCCGGGCAACTTGGCGAGAACTTATCTCTACAATAAATTAAAAAAAAAATTAGCCAGGTATGGTAGTGTGTACCCATAGTACTGGCTACTTGGAAGGCTGAGGCAGAAGGATCACTGCGGACCAACAGGTCGACGCTGGGGTGGCCATGAGTGTGCCACTGCACTCCACTGCAGGGAGTGCCACTCCAACTCAAGAAAAATAAAAGAAATAAAGAGTCTTGATACCAAAATGTTTTCAGAACCTCTGGTTTAGACTAAATCTGGGGGTTCAAACTCAGAAAAAGCCCCATCCTCTTAAGATAACACGGACCTCTTTTTCTCCAACAAGGAAATGATTAATTTAGAAAAAACCTGGCGAATTCAAGCAAGACTTTCACAGCAGGGTGGAAGAATGCTACAGTTTCCCTCAACCCAAAGAAAAGATATGCAAGGAGAGAATTTAATTAAGTGTTCAGGGAATTTCTTTCTGGATGGCGATGCATTCCTGTCAACTCACTGCGGGGCATGCAGGTCTCTCTGCCAGCATCTTGCAAAGGTTTTACACCCCCACTCAACTCACACCATTTCAACTGCCACCAATGAAGTCCTTCCTATGGAGTCCCCTTTGTTTTTTCGCTTGTTTCTGTACTCTTTAGCACAGAGCTGATCTACAAGCTTCTCTGAGAAGTTAATTTGATTTCCTTCCGCCGATTTTCAGTCATTTGGGGGTGGACACGATGTCACAGGAGTCTCCTTCACTCCTCCTGAGCTCTGCACATAATGCCAGGCACCACACTGCACGTGAGCTTGCCAGTTGACTGGTCAAGATGGGACAGAAATGCTGGATTTGAGGAATGACCTCTCTACCTTCTGGCATTTTCTTTCTCAGAATGTCAGTTTTTGAACAGCAAACACAGAGACAGGCTTCAGTCCCAGAAGGCTCTGTTTTCTTCTCAGCTCTACTGCTTTCTAGCTTTGTCGCCTTGAGGAAATCGCTCAACTTCCTGGAGCCCCAGTTTTGTTTTGTTTTGTTTTAGAAAGCAGGATTTATTGAGAGGACAGAAAAGCTCCCACAGTGGGAGGGGACCCAAAGGGGTAGCCCGGAGCCCCAGTTTTGCTCACGGGGAACAGACAGACTTTGTTCCATATAGGAGGCATCTAGCAGATGCCAGCTTCTTCCTCGGTGATTTTCTCCCCCTCTTCTTTAGGATACTTAGAGATAATTATCAAGGATGTGTCAGCCACAAATCACTACTCTCTCAAAGGTACTCATTAGTCAGAGAGAAGTTAATTATACTTAACCCAGTCTCTTTTCCTCTCAGTGTCCTTAGAATGGATTGTAAATCTCTTATCAACTAAAACACATGTTCCATAAAATTACACATCACTAAATTATGACAGTCTCCCATCTGTTTATCTGGTTGTTAAGAAGATAAATATAGTGTATTTAACCCAATTATTTTCCCGTTATTTTTCTAAATTTCTTTTGATTTTCCTCCTTGATTGTTGAGAATCATCTCTGTCCCCCTCCCTTACTGCATTCTTACTGCCTCGCTGCTCTGTGTGTCTCCCAACCTTCTTTTCTTCTCTTTCTTCCACACAAGTATGGTACCTTCAAGGTAGGTGGCTCCTTTGCAGAGGACTCATGGGCATTGGAGTGACTTGGAATTTTCCAGTAGTCCATGGTGCCCTTTTATGCCTCCTGCCAGCTCTCGATGGAGCTCTCAAACCTTCAAGAATGAATAGAAAAGGCTCTTGGGTTCGTGAGGGGAGGATGTGGGTAGCGGGAAACTACAGCGACAGTCGCCTTTCTTCAGCTGAAAAGAGTCCTCTTTCATTGAGGAGACTCAACCAATCCTAATTAATGGTGGTGGGGATGAGGATGTCTCCAAGAAAGCTCAGAGGACAATTTGAATGACTTTGAGCCGGGCTCGGTGGCTCAGCCTGTAATCCCGCGCCTTTGGGAGGCTGAGGTGAGTGAATTGCCTGAGCCCATGGGTTCGAGACCCGTCTGGGCAGCGAGACCTCATCTCTACAATAAATCAAAAAAATCAGCCGGGCGTGGTAGCGCATGCCTGTAATTCCGGCTACTCGGAAGGCTGAGGCGGAAGGATCGCCGGAGCCCAGCAGGTCGAGGCTGTGGTGGCCGAGAGTGGCCACTGCACTCCAGTCTGGGCGACAGAGTGAGACTCCAAAAAAAAAAAAAAGAATGGCTTTGAGCTCTGTAATGCAGATTCTCAGGCCCTTCACAGCGATGCTGATTCAAGAATTTTAAACGGAGCTCTCTGATGACTCTTCTGCACGCTCCATGAGCACCAGAGATCCTGGCATTTCCGCCCTGCTGGAAAGTGCACCTGGTGTATCATTTCTGCTTTGCAAAGTCCATTCTCATAGCTTTTCTCATTTGAACCCCAGAATAACTTTGTACAATCAATAGAAGCAGGTACTATGTCCTCCAGAAAGTTGCCTTAAATTTCAGTCTCTCTGTACTGTTGGCCAAGGCAAAGCCAGAGATCAGCCATGGATCCGACTTGGCCACCCTCAGCCACTCTTGAGTGGTTTTTACCCAGGAGCCAGGTGGCCCACAGAAGAAGACATTATTGACATTGGAATTTGTCCCTGACTTCTGAAAATGAGACCCCTGTGACCCCTTTTTATTTTATTTTTCTTTTTGGCACCCAACTCTTTATGGACAGGTATGAGTTCGAAGAGGCAAAGGAGTTCTTCCAATGAGGAACAGAAAGGATCAGGGTGGTTGTCTGTGTCTAACACTGATCCTTCCTGATTAGAGATTTGTGCAGAGAGAGCAGTCAACAAAGATCTACACATTAGTGTCCAAGCCATACCCACAGCTCCTGCCTTCTGAAGACGGTTGTTGACTTCTGAGCTGGCTGGTAATAGAGTGAGGGCAGCAGCATTACAATCACAATGAGGTCAAATGAGATACATGAGAGTGTAACTCATTCGACAAGGGGAACAAGTTTTTATTGGGGCCGCAGTGTCTGCGGAAGGGTCCCGGTGGGAGAGGACCCAGCCCGGCATGCCAGGCGTGCAGCTCCATGTGGCTCTGGTTGGTAAAGGGAGGAACCCCAGGAAAGCCGCCCCTCCTGGAAGGAGAGAGTAGGCTTGGTTGGATCCAGGATTCTGTTCCTCCCGTGCTGGGCCAAAGCCAGCACCTGGCTTGATCTATGTTAGTCAGAATGGCATGTGGACATGGGTTTCCAGCCAATGGGGCTTATGGACTGTGGTTTAGACCTTTAGTCACATTAAGTTAAAAAGGAAATGGCGTTGTCCTTCAGGCGCTAAATCCTATCATGGTAATATCTTTACCGTCTCCTGGCATGGTTTCTTCTTAGCATGGTTTTTAAACAAAATTGTATTATTTTATTTGACATTTCGATGGGGAATAAGATTTATTTATTTACTCATCTATTCATTGATACATTTTTGTAGAGATGAGGATCTTGCTATGTTGCCCAGGTTGACCTCAAACTCCTGGCCTCAAGTAACCATCCTGCCTCAGCCTCCCAAAGTGCTGGGATCATAGGTGCAAGCCATTGCACTCTGTCCTGTTTTTTGTTTTTTGTTTTTCATTCAATGCTGTGTTCCTCTGCTTCTTAGCATGGTCTTAAAGAGAGCTATTGCTTTTGCTATGCCACTGTGTGAAGAAGTAATACATTACTTATTTGTGTTTGGTGTCTTACTCCAGGAAAATAAAGCCTTTTCAAAATCCCATAGCGTAAAAATGACTTGAAATAAAAGGAGAGAAGAAGAAACTCATATAAAACATTTTTCAGGCCGGGCTCGGTGGCTCAGCCTGTCATCCCAGCACTTTGGGAGGCCGAGGCGAGTGGATTGCCTGATCCTGCGGGTTTGAGACCAGCCCAGGCAACTTGGTGAGACCATGTCTCAGCAATAAATCAAAAAATTAGCCGGGGGTGGTAGCATGCGCCTGTAGTTCTGGCTACTTGGAAGGCTGAGGTGGAAGGATTGCTGGAGCCTAGCAGGACCATGCTTGGGTGGCCATGAGTGTGTCACTGCACTCCAGCCTGGGCGATGGAGTGAGACTCCAAAAAAAAAAATTTTTTTTTTCCCATTCACCTAAGTAATTCTCAGCATTTTCATTTTGGGGTGAGATTGGAGGACAATGCTGCTTTCCAGGATTTTCAGGCTGGTCGTCTCTGACCACATACCCTTCTCTCCAGTGGACCACAGATCTCAGGGCACACGCGGGAAAATTACGGTCATTTTCTCTGTGTGCCGTGGCGGGGAAAATGTCGGCGTGCAAACGTGGCAAACTGACCTGAATTTTCTCTTTCTCCTAGCTGTACCCAAGATGATGCTGCCGTGTATCAAGTCTCGGCTAGAAACCGTTTTGGAATGATCTGCTGTTCTGCTTCCGTGGAGGTCGAGTGCTCGTCAGAGAACACACACCTGTCTCCTAACCTGGAAAATGACAAGGACACAGGTTGGAAACATGAACCAGGGACACATGAGGGGAAGGGTACAAACCCAACGGATGAGAAAGGACATCCTCATAAGGAAGAAGAAAGCGTCTCCCCGGGCACTCCCAGCTCAGCTGATTCCTCCCCTTCCAAATCCAGCCGTTCACCCTCACTCCAGTTGTTGACCAGTAATGACACTAGTGCATCCAGTTCTGAGAAACCCTTGGACATTAAAGGGGAGAGACAGACCGGGGGGACTTATGATCAGAGCCACACAGAAGAAATCGCAGAGGGGTGGCTTTCTCTTCACTCAAGTCATACTCCAGAAAAACAAGGCGTATGTTGCCCCCAAGCGATGCCTTCCAACACACCAAGGCTCGTGGATGGTGGCCAGAACCATGATGGCCCTAAGGATGGAGTCCTACCCTCTAGTCAGCAAAATTCCAAATTACAGAAATACGTTAGCTTCAGCCTCCCGCTGTCTGGGCCAACCGCTCACATTTACCCAGGTGACAGCACCACGGTCAACAAGCAGGGCGGCCCACAGGTTTCCAGTGAAGACTCTAACAGTGACTATGAACTTTGCCCAGAGATAACCCTAACCTGCACCGAGGAGTTTTCAGATGATGACCTGGAGTATCTGGAATGTTCTGATGTTATGACGGATTACTCTAATGCAGCTTGGCAAAGGAACCTGCAGGGGACGGAGCGTGTTTTTTTATTAGAAAGCGATGACGAGGAGATGGAATTCAGCGAGTGTTGCCTGGGTGGGTGTGAGCATTTCCTCAGTGAAATGGGTTGTGGGCCTCGGGTGTCAGGTGACACTGGGCCCATGGATGCCCCCGCTGGCTTCTGTGGCTATCACTCACAGCCCCAAGACGTGGGGGTGAGGAGTGGCAGAGTCTTCCCACGGTGTCCCTTGTCCCCACACACAGGGATGACTCTCACTTTGGGTCCTCACCAGGATGGGACGTCTTTGGTGACAGAGCAGGGGGGATATCCACTCCCCAATGCTCCCGAGGCTGCTGAAAATGATTATCCAGGAATTCAAGGAGAAACCAGAGACAGCCACCCAGCAAGAGAGGAATTTGAAAGTGACAATCTGCTAAACATGGAAAAAGCAGTGACAGGGAAAGAGATGCAGCCCTTGCCTGGCGAGGCAAAAAAGTCTGGGATGCACCGGTGTTGGGAGACGGCAGCTGAGAAAAGAGAAGGGGAGAAGGACTTGGGGAACAAGAGAGGCCCACAGAAACCCACCAGGGCGGGGCGACCGGGACTCAAGGGAAAACCCAAGAAGCTGAACGCCAGCCCGAAAGCAAGCACGGCAGAAGGCACCGTTGATCTCCTCTGTCCCAAAGAACCTGCTAAGCCCCCACTATCCCAGAGTGATACAAGAGAGGCTTCCCGCACCCCTGCAGGAACGACTGACTGGAATTCCCACCTCCATGCGGGAGAATGTGCTGTTGCACCCCAGGCAGAGCAAGAAGCAAAAGCCCTTCAAACTCCAGCAGACTCACTCCCTACGGAAGGCAGCACACATTTCCAGGGAAAAGGGATGCGGGTTGATAATCTCTTTGAAACAAGCCAGGTTCCAGGCCAGAGTGATCAACCTCAGGTAAGACTCTTCTTTTTACCAAGAATTTGTGTGTGTGTGTGTGTGTGTGTGTGTGTGTGTTTTTCCTTCACTTCGTGTTCATGACTGCTATCCCATAATGTAAACCAAAGCAAGTCTCCCAGTGCCATCGGGGTACTTGTGCATGACAGCTGCCGCGGCTAGGAAGGAAATCTGGTTTTGAAAAAAGGCCCAGATAAACCCTAAGCCCTCCTAATTATAGCCAAAGACTGATAGAAGTGAGAGGCACTAATGGGATTCTGGACAGCTGGAAAAAGAAATCTGATATTTTGTCTACTGCATGTGTTTTACCAGGCAATGTGGCTATTCAGAAAGTTTCTCAAGCACATGTTTTGGATATAGCCTTTAAAGGAAAAAAGTCATTGTTTTGAGTCATGTTTGAGGGGGTACTTTGAAAATGGTAGGTTTGGCTTTAAGCAGAGCTTGTAGTATGAATGAAAGATCCCAGTGTGTCTGAAAGAGGTGTAGTATTCACTTTGTGACGCTGGAGAAAGTAGTCAGAGTAGATTTTGCTTTGCTGGTGGGATATTTTTGATTGGATATTTGTCTTATTTTGTTTTTCTTAGAACATAACGTAGAAAAGAGGCTAAGAAAATACTGCCAGGAAAAAAAAAATTATCTTCCCCTACTGCTGATTTGGGGGTGTAAAGAGATGGAATTTAATTAAAGGGAATAACTAATGCACAAAGGATGTTGTGCTTGGTACATGACTTATGTTTTTATTATATTTCTAATTTTAAGTGGGCTTTAGACTGGTACTCTACTATGACCAAGATTTGATTTTGTAAATAAATACCCAAGTTATTTATCAATTTTTTTACTTTGCTTGTGTTGTATACCCCCAACTTTTTAGTAGAAATTTAGTTAGTTTTTTTTTGAGTTAAAGTCTCACTCTGTCACCAAGGCTGGAATTCAACAGCACAATCATGGCTCACTGCAGCCTCAATTTCAATCTCCTGGGCTCAGGTGATCCTTCCACTTCAACCTCTTAAGTAGTTGGAACTATAGGTACATACCACCGTACCTGGCTAATTTTTAAGTTTTTTGTAAAGATGGGATCTCACTATGTTGCCCAGGCTGGTCTCGAACTCTTAGGCTCAAACAATCTTCCCACCTTGGTCTCCCAAAGTGCTGGGATTACAGGTGTAAGTCCCGTGCCCAGCCTTAATATTATTTTTATAGAAGGCAAGATATACTCCGAAAAATATTTCCAAATGCAAAGTTATTTAACTCTCTCTGTGAAAATATAAAAAATCAACACATTGATTTCTAAAGACCCTGTCATAAGTCTAAAAATCTCCAGATTTGAGGCAACTTTTGACCAAGCAAACTGTTCTATTCTGTTGATCCAACTAGCCAGATGAAAGCCTCATTCATACTTTGCTTTTTTGCAGGAGAACCAGCTTTCTCTTGTTTTGTTCTTTGACACACATGCCTCTTAGTGACTCACACACCAATGACCACAGATTCAATCCCGTGATTCGTTTATGGAAGCAGTTTGACCAAATGCGAATACAAAATAGAGTGACAATGTCAATTTTTCCGTGTCAATAAATATGGCTTTTCCTCTCCCAGTCATAAAGTCCTCTTCCTTGCTCAGCAAAGTGCTTTTTTATGGTCGCCTATCCACCTACAGTGTGTTTCACTGGACAAATCACCTTTCTTATTGAAGACCGGGGGAGGTGATGAAGCGAGCCTCAAGGAGCCAGGGGAACAGAAGGGGGTCATTTATTGACAATGTCAGTCTTAGAACCATCACTGTGAGGAGCAATTGCTAGCTCCCCCAACTGCCAAAAATTTCAAGGAGTTGAAGGGGGAAGCCCCCTTTGCCATGCTCAGCTAGGACCCTAAACTGAATTCTGAGATTCAGAACCCTGGTAACCAGCAAGTCCCTTGTTTACTGGCCAGGCAGCTAAGTAAAATAGGCCACCTGTGGGACCAAGGTTGTCAATCTTGTGCATTCTATTGCAGTTCTCATGGGGCTCTTTGGCTTACACTTTTCCCCACATTCATGACTCCATATTCACCCCAGGGGTCACCAGCTCAAAGTCCGACCTGTGCTTCATGATGTGTCTGAGTCAATGATCTCAGAACTGCGAACCCCGCTCTTCAGAAAGTAAACCGAAGAACTTGTGTTTTCTGCAGGTATTAGGGCCAGTTCACCTTGTAGTGATCAGTAGCAGAGACAACCAGAAACTTGGATGGAAGCTGTACGTTTAAGAGCAGTCTCAAGTTAGAAATAGGATCTTTGTATCGGTGGCATTGATTTTCCTTTGACTAAAGCACGGACATTTTGCCACAGGAACTGACATGTAGGAGAATGCAGATACTTGTATCCTATTTAACTGTAGGAGGTTCCTGTGTTTCTTACACACGTATAAAATATAGCCACATTTATATAAGTGGATGACTGTTACTGCCAGTGTGACACAAAACCACTGGGGGTTGTTGGGAGCTAAATGAAAAATTTCCTGACACTGTACAAAACATTGGGAAATGAAATCAAAAGACATTTAAGATATTTATTTTCAGAGATTTTTAGGCTGTGGGAACCTCGACAGTTGAACTGATTAAAAGTCCCAGAGTGGGGGCAATTATACAGTGCCCATTCTTGAGTTTTGTCTGATTGACTTACCTTTAGGTCTCTCTTTGTAGAAATAGTGACCAGCAGCTTGTCTCTTTGCATTTTGTCTTCATCAACAAATGGCTTTTAGCATTCAGAGAAAAACTCCATCTCTCTAATTTTCCGTATAAAGAACAAAGCTACATTGTAGAATTGCTCCTGTCTACATACGTCTTAAAATGTATTTGCTTCCTGTCTTTGTTTCTCTCTTTTACAGTGCAAGGCCATCTTGTTATAACTTGTCTTGAAATAGTACTTCCCCAGGCTAGGATTGGAAAGCCCCCAGTTTCTCTACTTTTATGGAAGATTCCAAAGTTAATCCCAGTTTGGAAGTGGAAAACAGAAGGGTACCCAAGGCTAACTTGAACCATCTTCAAGGGTCACACCGCCAACTCTTCTCGTTGGTTTTGAGCTCACTTTTCTGATCCAACTCAGAGGCAAGGCCTGCCAATCTGCCCATCTTAAGTTTCCCACAGCCACACTGGGGTAAGATCATCCTCACTCTTAAATCAGAAGTGCTGTGCTTGTCCTCCTGCACAGCTGCCCAGCTTTACCCCAGAGACAGTTGCATGTCTGCTTGGAGTCATGGGATTGCAAGTGTACAGTATGGAAATGTGCTCTTAGTTTCTGGTAGTTAAGAATCTTCCTAGCCGGGCTCGGTGGCTCAGCCTGTAATCCTGTGCTTTGGGAGGCTGAGGTGAGTGGATTGCCTGAGCCTGCGGGTTCGAGACCCGCCTGGGCTACTTAGTGAGACCTCATCTCTACAATATATCAAAAATTAGCCAGACATGGTAGTGCACGCCTGTAGTTCCAGCTACTCAGAAGGCTGAGGCGGAAGGATCGCCGGACCCAGCAGGTCGAGGCTGCGGTGGCCAGGAGCGTGCCACTGCACTCCAGTCTGGGCGACAGAGTGAGACTCTAACTCAAAAAAAAAAAAAAAAAAAAAAGAAACTTCCTGATTAGGAGTCAGCACTACACTTACAAGAGAGCTCCACAATGGAAGGAATTTGTTCACTGTATTTTGTCCACTGATATATCCTGAGTCCCTGGAACATACAGGCACATATAGGCACTCGGTCATTGAGCACAGAATCAAATGTCAAGTATGGTTAGGTAGGAGTCTAATGATCAGTTTTCAGACTCTCAATGATCAGTTTACAGACTCTCTTTTCCTGAGCGCATCCTTTGCAAAAAAAGATGCTTCTGCCAAATCTCCACTAACAGGTCGTGCTTCCCATTAGTTACACCTCTAGCCCTGGGAATGGGTTGGTTTGTTCTAAACCATCCACACCTTGCACTTGCTAACGATTCACATATGACTTTGGCTTTAATAGTGCTTCTTTCTCTCTCACAAGTTGCCAATTAGATCTAGGAGGATTCTACCATCTTTATCTAGCCCTCCGGATCTTCTCCCATTTTGCTTCTGTCTACCTCTGTGTGGTAAAGCAGGGATATAAGCCAGTCTCCTCACTTGGAAAATGAAGCATTTTCTCAGACACGTAGTAGACTGTTCATCCTCTTGTCTGGGATACCTTTGCCTGCCTTGTTACTAGCTCAGCCCACCTGGTGCTTCGAGGCCCAGCTACTGCAAGGTGCTTTCTTCATTCCTAACTAGGATTTTTCCTTTCAGAGAAGCCCAGAACCTTGTCCTCATTTTTTGCATAATATAGTGAGCTCCAGACCTGAGTTTGTTTCCTGCACTACCACTTTCTAACTGTGACCCTGGGGAAAATGACATAAGCTCTCCCAGCCCCAGTTTCCTCACCTATAAAAAGGAAATAATACGTACTTCAAAGGTGTTGTAAGGATTAAATAAAATCTTGCCTTGCAAAGTGCTGGGCACTGTGTCTATGATACAGTTAACATTCAGTGTTAGTTTTATTATCATTTTTATTTTGTTTATTTTTATTTGCCTTCTTAATACATATTCCCTTTCTCCTTATGTTAAAGGCTTCTTGATGGCTGGCTACAAATGGTTTTATACTTGTTTTTTAAATTGAAGTTTTTATTGAGATAATTGTACATTCAGATGCAGCTATAAGAAATCATACAGCTGGGCTCGGTGGCTCAGCCTGTAATCCCGCGCCTTTGGGAGGCTGAGGTGAGTGGATTGCCTGAGTCCGTGGGTTCGAGACCCGCCTGTGCAGCGAGATCTCATCTC